TCTTACGTGATTCAACGCGTTGTTTCTTTTTTTCCTATTTATACAGTTGCTTACAGTTTCCCGCGTGCTGTGAATTAATGATTCGTTTTTTCATAAACAGGAGATTTCCTCGTGTACTAGTGCGTCCTTCGCGGCCATTAATTCAGGGTTGATAATCTCTTATATCATTTCTCAAGCCGTCTCGGTACGAAATGCCGTGGCGAATACTTGCGTATATCGTGAGTGTACCTTTGTCGCGTGTCTCTGGAGATTTTTCCAGCTGGGAGATGAAATGCGACTCGCAATTAGATCCACCTAGCGCGGCATATTTGCGGAACTGCGCGCAAGATACTTTCCATCCACGCCATTTACATCCCTCCCCAGCTTGCCTTTTTCCCCTCTGAGAGCACTTTCATAGAAATTATTACTCGTATTTGTGCATCACTTCGTCGTGTTTAGATCATCGGTACACGCGGAACATTAGTGAAACGTGATTTATTCAGCAGACGCGACAAAATCTGTACGTATATGATTTCGTAAAAGTTTTGGTTTCATTTTTATTCTGCGTTAATTCCGTGCACTCATGAAACTCATCGGTATATATGACGGCCGCGTTGGCATCGACCAAAATTGCTACCGTCTGCCAACCCAATTATTCCGTAATCAGTCAACCAATAGGGCAGAGGCTGTCCAGCCCGTACATTCATTACCTACAGATCATAAACATAATTTAATTGCATTCGGTAATCTTGTTCAATGCTTGATCGATTAAGATTACTAATTCTTCGTGCAAAAATTCAATGTATTCCTCTTGCGGTAGCACGATAAATTATCTTTATTAACTATTATTCGCGAAGTTTTAGTTTTGTATAAAATATCTTAGGATCTCAAAAATATTGATCTACAAATGCTTGACACATTTCAAATCTTTTGAAATTAATGTAAAATTGTTATTTTATTTTATGCTTCTCAATATTTTGGATTAAATAAAAAAATTTATTATAAAAACTTCAAAGCTTCGAATTACGTTAAGAATTTGTTATTAAAAGATTTGAATTGTTCTTAAAAACACGCTGTAAAAATTACATCTTAACATTCTTAATAGATGTTTATTTTAAACGACTATATTTTTTGTAAAGTAAAGACAACAAATTTTTAAGTATCTTGTGTAAAAAGCACGAAAAAATGGCTTAAAACATTGTCGGAAGAAGCTTTTAACTCCAGTAGAATAAATTTCGTTTAAACGTTTGTTTAGCATTCTGGTATTGCAACTTTAATGAAGAAAAATTTCACGTCGCATATCCTTTAGATAGCATCATAACCCGGTATCAGACCAACTAGTTTAATCTGTTTTAGGGCGATATATCATTGCTAACGCTTATTCCACAGTCTGTCAGTTCTTCCGGTGCAAAAGAACAATACTGAGATTTATATGGAAATTTGCCGCTCCTCTTATATTTCATGTATTTTAGTTGGAGATCTCTGGGGTGAAAAAATATACCTATACAGCATATGTCGTCTCTTCAAGCTCGGTTCGCGAGCATTTTTATCCGCCATTCGATTTGCATTGTAGATTTAACCGGAAAAAGCATATAGAGATTTTAAAAAATGGACTCTAGTTACGTAATGCAACATCAACGCTAAGATTATGAGGCTGTCATATGTAATGTATTGGTTTTGCATAAACAATTTCCACGTTAATTTTAGAGAGCTCCAAATTTGTCGAATTTTTGCAGATCAACTGTCGTGATTTAATAAAACAGAAAATAAAACAAAATTCAAGAACGTCGTGTTGTTTTATCGCGGGTGATAAATGTCAAGCAGTACGTAATTAATCAAGCTGTTCTAAATTAAGTCTCTTCAACGTGAAATCGCGCGAAACGACACAGCGCGTGTAAGAATGGTAGAATTTCGCGGTGGATCTATAGCTGCAGAGCTTCACCGACGCTGCTTGGTGGTTGGTTAAGTAACGAGCGGTGCATATTTAGCCGCGGCTTCTCTACAGAGACATGCAAATGTACAGCGATGGCTCCTCTCGGTTAGTTGCCTCTATACTATGTGAAATATACTCCGCTTCATGCTTAATCAAGATTTCGCCGGCCATTATACTCCGGAGAACCATTCTTCATAAAGTTTTGCATTTTGACAAATCTGCGATGTGTAAAGAGAGTATAATATTTTTACATAAATTCTTTGTTCTGATTTCTTACTGTTTCTACAACATTTTTGAGAATGTATTGCAATATAACATATAAATTTATCTGTTTATTTGAATTGCATAAGGCTTATGATTATTATTACTTGTAATTCAATTGTTTTATAATTAAATATATTATTTATTTTTAACGTAATATAAATTGTTAACTTTGACCTTTCTGAAAAAATTAGACAACAAGAAAGTTTAGATTTTTTTTAAATTAAGTCTTTGTAGAGATTTAACATTCTAGTCGTGTCTTTGTAGAGATTTAACATATTTATATCTGCATATTAACACAAGACAGCAAACGTTTTTACATACTTTTTTTAAGCATTATTTAATATCAGTATTAGTCGATAGATAATTATGAATTCATAACACTCGTTCACACTTCGGTTATTGTTTATTTAGCATTGTTTTTTTTTGTTCAATCAATGTTACATTTGGTATGTATAGATATTATGTAGACAATATAGAAATTCATTATAAATTAAAATCAGATTAATATTTGTGTTATTTGTTTTTACATTTTGATTACGGCTTATAAAAAGTTAAAAATTTTACATAACATTATCATTATATAGGAGATATATAACTGCAGTGGAATACTTGCAAAGAAATAGTGATTAAATTGACGTATTCTTGCACTTTTGAATTAATTAATATCAAATTCTAGAGAGTAAAATTATTTGTGTAATTATAAAATTTTTGCTTTAATTTAAAAAATCAAAAAAATAAAAGTCGGATTATTAGGAAGTGGTCATTGCGTGTATACACTCACGCGATAAGTTTCTACATAGTTTTTTATTTATGCAACAGTATGTTTATAATTTGCACTTATTTTAATCTGCAATTACATCATCTTTGCAAATGGGACGTCCGCAACAATCTGGATACACTTTTGTTTTATCTTCGTGATATCCTATCTGTGTTCCTGGGAGACAGTTAAACAGAGGGCATCTAAAATTTACAAAAAACTATAATAACATCTGATCTCTAAAACACTAAATTTCACAAATTGTTTAACTTACGCTAGCGCTCTCATTCCTTCTGAGAAACATGTTACTTTACAACATTCACATCCGGTATGAGTCTTCATAACATTTTCGGAACAATTCTCTATAAATATTAAAAGTATAATTATATTAAATAACGTATAGCTTAGAAGAATTACGGGATACGCGTCGATTAAAAACTATCATGGTGCTTTCTTCGAATCGTCAACACAATATATGTGTATCACATAAATGTCTTATCTTCTAATCAAATAAAGAATTCTTAATTTATATTACAATTGTAACTTAATAAATTATAAGAATATCTTACAGAGAAATACATAAATTTAATATTTGAAGTTGAATTATAAATCATATGTTATATATAATTCTACATTAAAATTGAACAATCTTTTTTTTTAAAAGTTTTTTTTATTCAGTGCCACATTATCTTAAGTAATAAAAATAAATATAAATAATATAATGAAAACATACCAAAGTTGGGAATTTGTGTACTGAAATGAACTAAGATGAGAAGAATACACAACGTTCCGAAGTGTTTCATCTTGCTGGATTATGTTGACTGAGACGAGCACAGTATCGAGATGCAAGAATAATTCTCAACACGTGGCTATTATTTTGAACTTTGATCTTTCTGAAAAGATTAGATAACGAGCTAGAAAGTTCAGATTTTATTAAAATTTAGTCATGTGTAAACAGTCTTTACAGAGATTTAATATTTTTATATCTGCATATTAACACAAAACAGCAAACGTTTTCACATTATACTTTTTTAATATCAGTATTAGTCAGCATTAGATAATTATCAAATTCATAATACTCGTTCACACTTGTGTTATTATTTTTTACATTTTAGCATAACATTGCTTTTTTCCGATCAATTGGTTTCATATTTGGTATTTGTAGATATTATATAGACAATATAGATTTATAAATTAAAATCAGATAATATTTGTGTAATTTATTTTTACATATTGATTACGGTTTATAAAAGGTATAAGTTAAGAAATATAGGATAAGGTTAAGAATTTTAATATTTCTGATTTTACATATTATCATTATATGAGAAATATGCAATTGTGGAATACTTGCAAAAAAATAGTGATTAAATCAATGCATTCTTGCGCTATTGAATTAATTAATATCAAATTCTAGAGAATAAAATTAAAGTTTTTGCATTTATCAAATAATTGTAAAAATAATACATGACAGTCACTTGTATTATAATATGCTTACAATTTGAAATGACATGCATTAATGCTAACTAGCTTGAGATAAATGATATTATAAATCCTTTATTCTGCTACAATACTAAAGAATTGTAAATAATAGTTATAAATTGTACTTTTTATTAAATTTGATTGATGTAAATATTTTATTATTGATATGAAGTGTATATGGCTGTTAGATAAGTATTAGTAACGATATCGAAATATGCTTCACACTAAAAATTTGTAATTTTTGAAATAATATATTTGTAATATTTTGTATAGATTTCTAAAATATATTTGTTTTATATTTCTTTACTTTCACTATATTTTAATAAATTTGAAACTAATTTTGATGTTGGAATAAATTTTAAAAGCTAGATTTAAAACATATTATACAAAAATTACATATATTATTAGTATTAAAATTTGTTTTTATTATTATATATATTTTTCACAATTAAAACTCTAATAAAATTGGATACAATAAAATAATAATAAAATTTATTAGAAGAATATTATTATTTTATTATTGAATAATTATGTCATTTATCTTTTAAAGTTTTCTTACAATTAGAAAGAAAATATGGTACACGCACATATACACATGTAACTTTATTGAAGATTTGTGCATATATCAGTACTTTATGTCAGTACTTTTTGTTGTAACTAATAATAATTTTATAACATATATACTACATGTATTTGTAACAAAGGAATATTTCATTTTTAATATCTTAGTTCTTTTACTACAACTTAAGTTCTACTACACCGCGGGCAGCAAACAGGATATTCAGAATTACGTTCTCCAAGATGTTGTGCTGCATTCTTGGCACAATTACATCTAAAGCAAATAATTATGGTCTACGTTAGTTTTGTAACAATGAATAAATAATACAGTAACATACAATTAACATTTTCAGTTATTATGTAAAATTTAATTTATTAAACTTACTCTTCTATTGTATACTTATTCTGCGATGTGCATGTTACTTGTACACATCTTTGTTGATCTCTTTCGGGAAGCACCTGACTTTGGCAGTTTTCTAAATTTACATATAATACATTTATTTTAATTATGTATATATATAAATTTTTAATTATTTTAAATACATAAAATAGAATAATTATTCTCTCTTTCTTTCTCTAGAAATATATATTTATAGATATATGCACAAAATTAAATTGTAAATTAAATTATATACATATATATTCAAGAAATCCATTATCTTATTTCTATAATTTTTATCAAAGAACTAAAGGATTAATTTAGATTAACAGTAAATAAAAGAATACAAAACAATCTATAAAATTTATTTTAATTATTTTATTATTTTGTCATACATTTAGAGAAAAAGGAAGAAAGTTATAAAGAGGAAGAAATTAAATACATGAATAAAATTACGTACCATATTTTGGAACTTGCATTGAATAATTCACAAATAGCAGAAGAATACAGAACAACGCAAAACGTTTCATTGTGCAATATATGTTGCTATACAAGAGAAATCGAAAGAACGAACTGTTATGAAGGATTCTAACATCGAACTAAATTTATAGAGCATCTCACATCGTAAAAGAAAGGTCAGAAATTATGATAAGGCTATAAAACTGCTTGCGTTTCATGTTTAATTATTGCTCTGTCGTATAATTTCTTATAATCTTATTTAAGATTATTCTTATCCTTTATATGTACATGAGTACTTATACTATAAGAAGCTGAATTGTGTAATTGTGTAATTGTGTAATTTACAAAGTAAATAAAAAGTAATAACAAGAGTTAATAATATAAAAAATAATGTTAGAATTAGATAAGGAATATGTTCTAGCATGTTTAGATTATTAAAATTTTTGGATTATTAAGATTTTTGAAAATAATTTGATACATATCTGCATTTCATTTTAATTTAATGTTTTCATGCATGTTATTAAAATTAAATTTTTCTAAAATTAAAAGCTTATACCAATTAGTTAATTAGACTGATTTAACTCGGGTAAATTTCTTTTTATCTTCTAAATTCATCTTTTTACCCAAACCTAATTATTAGAATTATTTTTGCAGATATTAATGTTGTCTATTAATTTTCTTTACATCAGACAAAAGCTCGATCAGATTAAGCTGGATAATATTAAAGGAAGTTCGCGCGCACGCATTCTGTAAGTGGTATTCTCAAGGGGCATTTTGGACTTGGTCACGAAGAAATGTAAGAGAGAACGCACTCAGAACTGCGTTGTACCGCGGATATGTCGTTGAGGTAGGTGAGTCCATTCCCAAGGCTTTGTTGAACGGGATTGGTACCGAGCCCAAGGGACACGCCGAGCTACAAGATCTCTATTATGTCAAGGAAGGGCGGAATGAGCTTCTTGGGACTTTCGTTTCGCTCGTTCGATGAGCCGATCCTTCAATAGGATCCATTTTGACTTCGACGATAAAACTTGATTTGCAAAATAAATTTAATGATTATCTCGAACATAATTTTAATTTTGTATTTTGTATTTTAATTAAAGTAGTTAACATTAGTAATTAAATAAGTGCAGTATTTGTGTCACGATATGGTTGTATAACTAATGACGCGAAATATATTGCGCAAGAGGCAAAAAATTAATAAGTTATCAATAATGCATGCAGCTGTATGCCGAATGATAAGATATAATATTATAATTTAAATTTACATTTGATAAGGTTTAAAGAGTTCAAGTGCTTGCAAGATTTCTCTGTAACAGTTTTATTCAGGATAGATCGATGTATCTTTTACGACGCATTTTATTGCAAATAATTTCTTCAAAATAAAAGTTCAATGTGTTTTAGCCTAAATAGTTATTTGAATTATAGTAGAATTCTAATATAACGTCAATTTTAGACTTTTAAAAATATTGATACGTACACTCAATGTATGACTGCATTTATTTCCAGAATGCTCAATTTATTATTGCGGGCGATGAAATATTCAAACGCAAGTCGGAAAAGGTGTCGGAAAATTTAGAAATATTCACTGCGTAGCTTCAAGTCGTAATAAAATTTTATTGTAGCTGACTTTTATCGAATCTTCTTCGATCCTTACTGCAATTTATAGCTGCATATTTCTTATGTTTAATTAAATGCGTGTTATTAATACAGGTGTGTTTTTAAAGTAATTTTATGAATATTTAATGTGGTGCCAAATAGAAAATGAGATATCCGTTAAAGCAAGAAATCAATTCGTCGCAGTCGTGTATGAATTTAGAACGAAGGGAGTAAAATCCATCGCAAAATCCGGCACACAACAGGGTCGTAAATAATCAACGGCTCTTCGATCCGACAATATTGTAACACCGGGGCTACCGTTGCCGATAACGTGCGATTGACAGGTCAGTCTCTATCGGCATATATCCTACCTTCGTCTTCGTGACAGGTGCAGTTGCACTGAAAGCGTGCTATTCGTATAATGTGAAGATCCCCGACGTCCACGAGCGTGTAATAATTTTCGCTTCTCAGCTGCAGTAGCTCGTCGCCGTCGTTGATACTCGAGAAAAATAAATTCGTGTTGTTTTCTTTGAGAACTCGTTCCGGCAGTATGGCGGCGTATCTTATCATTGTTTCTTCCGCGTCTTTCACCGCTTGGCGAGCTATCTGTAAAAAAGATTTACGCAAATAACCGCGCTGCGGATCGGCCATAATACTGCGGATCAAAAGTTGCATGCATCAAGTGCATACACTACAAAGTGCCTCGCATCGAAAACTCTTTTCTCCCTCTTCTCTACCTTTACCCCTACGCCTGACCGGTAACATCATCGACTTTCCGCGGAGCGATATTTCAATATTTCACCGTTCTGACTTTATTCGGTTGTATGCGCGCAATAAAAAATAAAGTGGGCTATCACTGCCGCGTTCTTACCGCGATATCCGATTCTTTCTGTTTATCTTCGGAGAGCCCGCGCCATTTCAACAAGGCAGCCCTATGCACGCTCCTCGCTTTTTCGTATTCCGGGTAAATGTCAGTGGCGAGACTCTTATATCCGAATGCACCAGCTGCGTTGGTATTGCCGTCTCTTCCGTGAGAGCTACCGCCGAGAAACCAGACGGTGTATTCTCGCAAAATTGGATATTGCTTCGTACGCATGTACCAATATATGGAGAAGTAGAGGGCGAGCTCCTGATTGGGCCCACCCTTTCCGGGATGCTCGCCTCCGAGATGAACGGTCGGTCGACCACCCAGCAGAAGGCACAGTCCCAGACCCCATTTGTCCTTCGTGGGAAACATCTCCCACACTTCTCGGTCGGTCAGAGGGCATACCGTACTCTCCTTCATCTGCTCGTACATCTCTAACTTGGTAATTTTGTTCTCAACCGCTAGGATCATTAGCGACGCGATCTTCACATACTCTTGCGCGAATTCCTCGACGGTCCCGCCGCAGGTGGAGTTTAATTTCAAAGAGGACAGCCCGAGTTTAAAGGCTCTCGCCGCCATACACTCTATAGCATCGGCGTTGCATGCGATCACGTATTGCTGTACGAACTTATATCTCTTTTTTTCGTCTAATTGAGCGTCCGCTGTTGTCCGAGGATTGGGTTTCCCTAGCACCTCGCGTACGCTTTGCGATACTTTATCGATAAGATTGTATTTCGTCAGAATAGCTAAGGCTGTTTGGTCCTTCGGATCGTAAACGCACGGACCACCACCCAATTGCTCTGGCGGTTCTGCTGACATCTCAGATGTGAAAAGAGTAATGACTTTAGCTGGATATGCCAGACGCGCTAGATCACCACCTAAAATTTATATTTTATTGTTTTACAATTTTATTCGTTGTCTATATATTTAATTCTTTAATTATTAAAAAGATTGCATTTGCGAAAAAGATTAACATTTTTTTTATATAAATATAAAAAATATAAGAAATCAAATTTATTTAAATTTACACACACATACATATATCATTTGATTTATATTTTTTATGAAAGCATTATAAAAAAATTAGAATAATAATCATAATATAACATTATAGAGTTTTTACTATATATTTTTTTTTCTTCTCGAGATATTAATATTAATTAATATCTCGATGTTAATCTAATTGTATAAAATAAGATTTTCACTAATTGATACAAACTAATTTTAATTGTAGACTCAAATGCGATATGATTTTGTTGTAAAAGTGACAAAATTTTATTTTATATTACATTTATCTAATGGAATTATGTTTACGTGTAGACTTATTTCGAAGAAATGTTGATAAGATATATACGTGAATTAAGAGTTTCGCAGAAGCGATTAATAAAATTTTCTTGCACCTAAACTTATTTACCTCTTATCGCAGAAAGTTTGTTTCTCACGATATTGATCTCTTCAAGAGTCGCATTAGCAGTCTTTAACCTGTTGAGAACCTTTAACTTATCTCCCAATGTAATTGTATCGTGCGGGTAGCATAGAAGATCGTCCAGATCTCGGGACAGCATAACTATCAATAGATCGCGTTTTTTCAGTTGCTTACAATAATTCGCGATTTTTCTTGTCATCTCAATTGCCTTTTCGTCCGGCTGCCCTTCCGTGTCGGCTTCGACGAAAGTTATACGACTGTCCAACTTTGGAAAAGCTTCCGGGAAGCTCGACATCATAGAAATCGATTTACGAGGTACTACAATAAATCCCTTTTTCAGTTGTTTGTCAACCAATCTTTCGAATGCCGAGCTCATCGTAACTACTTCCTTGCCCCAGCCAACAATGTGTAAGTTATTATTTATTTTATATTTGACGTTATTAATTATTAGCATTTGACGACCGTCATACTTAATCTTCTTAGGAATAATTACAGACGGACAAATGCACTTTATACCGGCTTCGATAATAGTACTGAGATCTTGACGGATCTACATTTATTAAGGATTTTGATTAAAAATTGAAAACTGCTTAAAATTTACATATTAAAAAGGATATTAATTTTAAAATATTATTCCATAATTAATATAATTTTATAATTTTTATATTACGCTTTTAGCGATTAAACGTTTCATGTTGGATTATTATAATATTGTTGCATTTTATAAATTGTAACATTTTTTTAAGATTTAAAATTTGTATATTATTAACAACTTAAAGAAATATTGATAAATATTTAGAGATTTAATAAACCTATGGTGTATGTCATTTTGAAGATTGGTAGATAGAAAAATTTATGAAAATATATGTACATATATGTACATTATAATAAAAATACTAAGAAAAATAATAAAAAATGTATTCTTGCTAAAACTAGTACCACATCATAAAATAAAATATATTTATAATATGTAAAATATAATAAAATATATTTATTAAGCAATTAAAAGAGTGTTGGATGAAATAAAATATTGCACGATAGAATAAAACATGATTTTTTTATGTAATAGTTCCTTTCATATAATATAAACTACTTAAAAGGTACATTATCTTTAATGTTATATTATAACCTGCAACATGCTTTTTTCTCCGCGTAATTTTTTCATATCTTTAATTTTCTTCTGTTGAACTCTCATTTCCATATCGGAACGCGCATTTTTTATTGCTATTTTGTCAAACCATTTTTGCTTTAAAGAAAAATTTACGTTGTTTATAATTTCTTGTCTCTTCGCTTTTATCGCCGCAATTTTAGCACTATTTCTTCTTCTTTCATTGAATTGATCGTATTCTGCTTCTTTTCATGTCGCATGATTTAATGATACTTTTAGGATTTTGTAAAATAAATTATCAAAATTAATTGGATGTGATTGAGTTACATTTAGGTTACTAAGTTGAATATAATTTCAAGCTATTTTGAATTATTTTGTTTTAATCACATGGAAACATCATCATTGTTCGTCGTTATTATAAGAATTGTTGGTATTATAGATAATAAATATTTTGATAATGAATTGTATCTCATTAGGGCATTTCTTTCACTTTTGTTGGTAATATGGATGCTTAATCAAAGAGAGAATAAATTTTTAAAATACCAACTATCGCAAGTATAAATTTACTTCATTGCTAGCAGATGAACGTAAAGGATTCTGGGTTATTCGAAAAGTGTTGACGTGACCGATTGTCGGTGTCAAAGTTCAAACATTTATGCATTAAGAAATTTTAGTGTTTCACTGCAAATTAATCATAAATATCTACGCAATTTAAATTAGCCGAGAGCAACTAAAATTATATTTTAGTTTTGAAACCCTGATTGTTGAAGATACTTGAACATATAGCTACATAATTCAGTGTGCACGTTATGTGCACATTGAGGCGCCATGGATAGGCTTCACTTAAAATACAAGCATGTCTACTCTCAAGCTTCTCTCTGATTAATGATAGAATTGAACACGACTACACGGTATACGTGAACGAGAGCACTGAATATTGAGTGTGTTCTGCTGTATAGCGAATGTAGAAATATTGGAGAGGTTATGATACAAAGAAGTAACTTATTTCAAGTATTGCGTTTTTAGAACGATATAAACTGTGCGAGTGAAAATATCTGAGCCTTTTTTAGAAAATGATTATCATCTAGAAGAATTGAAGTCAACAAAACAAAATTATGTTCATCAACCGATAGAACGACAGTGGATTTACTAGATATACAATAGAGGCTGAAAGATCGTTTAAAAAAAAAAGAAAATAATGGAAAACCATTACGCCGGTTTATTTCGCATCTTTATGTTAAACTGTCTTGTTCTATTTTTATCTTTCGCGGGAGTGAGAAGCGCACCAGTGACACTGAGTATCACAGATGTTATGAAAAATGACTCGAATATATGTCCGACATCCAAATTTTTGTATGATTCAAAGTATATGGAATCTTGTGCATCCATGGCATATCCTACTACTTCTTTGGACTATAATCCAGCAACCTTACCTACATTTCTGTGTTTAGGAATTTATGATACAGCATACAAGATTTGTCAATATTCTAGTCAGTTACAAATTCCTGTCAATAATACAGCATTCAATTCATATATGGAGAAGTATGTTCCTAATGAAAATCAAGCCCCGACATCCAAAACATTTTCGGAAGATTTTTGCAACAGTCTACAAGGATTTACTTCGTTATATAATAAAATAGATTCACTTTGGGGAGAACTAGTCAAAAGTCTTAATACACCTCATCAGTGTATGAGGATATGCTTCGACTTTCAAGATAAGTTTCGACCAGTATGCGCAGTATTTGCTTGGATCAAAAGCATTAATGATAATATAAAAAATGCAAAGAAAACAGAAATACTACACGAATTTCCGGTATCTGATAAACCGTATATGAATCAGTCAAAGGATGAAGTAACGGTTGATATTAAAACAATTGAATCTAAAAGAATAGAAACGAAAGATGATTTGAATGAACAGGACAGAAAGCAAATTGCAAATAACATTAATAATAATGTTAAAGAAGGTAATGTACCGGGTGATGTATTGCCTGTAAAAGCTGATGAAGAAAAAACAAAATCCGATACTGAAAAAGTATATATCCAGAAGAAAATAAATAATATCTCAGAGATACAAGTTCATAAATCAGAAAAAGAGAATAGGATTGATACTAATCTTGGCACTAATGCTGAAGTTGCAAAACCGAAAGATAACAGTGATTTACAAGTTCCGTCAATGAACAATGCTGTAAATAACATAAAAAACGCACAGAAATCTAATAAAGAGCAGAATATTGATGATTTTAAACCTAGTACACTATCAGAAAATACGCAAGATCATTATGATGCTGGTAATCTAGACGAAAATGTGGAAAATGATATAGATGGTATTAATACTTATAAATATGCTTTTGTAATGTGCAATATTTATGAATGTGTATTTGTTCATATGTAACATCTAATTTTATATTCTTCAAAATGAACGCGGATGATTTCGAATAAAAACAAATTGGAATTTTATTGTATATTTTTTCAAAATTTTATATTCTATATGACATTTTTATACAAAATATGTAAATTATGTATTATATAAAAAATTTTTAAATGTATACATAGAGAAAAATAATGTATACATGTATTGTGTTATAAAAATATTAAACTGTATTGTATATGTGTATTTTAATTCATATATTTTAAATGATTCATAAATTTATAAACAATACATATATATTTTTGAATAATTTATCTCATATACATATATATATATATAATTAAACGTAATTTTCAGATGTAGATGATACACTTCAACATCCAGATACAGGTAAGAATGCGTGATAAAAAAATGTTTTATATTAATTCATTCATACAATCATGTATTTACACATATATTTGCATTTTTTTGTAAGGAAATCAAAACGAAAATGTGCAAGAAATCTTTGAGCCGAAGAATAATAATGCTAGGCTAACGGAATATTCCAATATGAGAACAGAAGACGATTCCCATTTCTTTACTTATTTTACTGTGATCACTTTGGTTTGTCTTGCTGGATACATAGGTTATCATAATAAACAGAAGGTTAGTTTAACTTATGCGTTTTTATATGTCATTCACGATTGTTTTTTTCATATAGAAAGTAATTCTTTTTGTGTTTTAGATATTTGCTATTGTATTGGAGGGTCGAAGATCAAGAAGTAATCGTGGTAGGCGGCGACCGAGTACTGCCAGCTACCGAAAACTGGATTGTACACTTGAAGAAGCTGTTACCTCGCAATGTAATGCTAACGTTACTCATGTCATATATTAATATGCGAGTAGAGTATCATAAATTTTATAATGGCTGTATTATAGTATAACAAGTGTAATATATTTTGTATTTAAGCTTAATATTTTTAGTATATTATTTAATTTTTTAAAAATTTTATATTTTAGCATCGAAGCAATCCGTCATGAAATTTATGAATATATGACAAAATATTTGATATAATATCGAAGAATCTAATACTAATTATATTTTTAATTTACATTATACATCGAGTTAAATGTATGATTTATAAGGTATACAATTTTTATTATATTGCGGTTAACATCTATTAAACAAATTTTATGTGGTACGCCAGCAAAATTAACAGCAAACTTGATCGGAAGTTGCTGATAAATTGGCATACATTTGTATTCACATTAAGTTCATATATTATGTCGACAGAGCCTATTGATAAAACTTATTAGTAGATAGTGGAAAGACACAAATACTGCTCTATTTCTGTTATTAAATTGTATAGAGAATATAAAATTTAATAATTAAAGTTTGCTTGATTTCTGTTATGAATTTATTATATTTTGCTATGATATTTTATTGATAAACTTCGTTACATTTCTTCCAGTATTCCAGTGTCAACAGTGTTATGTCAGATCTGTAACTGTTCTGTCGACAAAATTTGTTCTCGACAGACTTAATTGCATTAACGCATTGTTGAAGAATTCGCAAAAATTTTTAATTTTTGTAGATTTAAAAATTGTAATTATCAAGTAAGATATGGAACGTTTGATAATTTTTTTTAAATATATTTCATTTTTTGGCTTTTTAATAAAGTTTTTCGTGGATATTTATATTAAGTACGCTGCATATATAATTAGGAAAACATATTATACGTATTTCGAGTTTAACAATTTACGAAAAAATATAGTATTAATTGTAACTAAATATAGCACGTTAAACATGATTAACTTTGATACGAATCAGTATTCAGACAATCTATCAATTATAATTGTTAATTAATTTAACGCTATATACGATCACTTGACGTAGTACACGACTTCTTATCCATATATTTATCTTTTATTTTTAACCAGTATTTTATAACTGGTTCAAAATAGCACGCTTTACGTATATATAATAGCACGTCAAAATTAAAAAATAAATTAATCTAATCGCCTATGTTACTTATTTTATTATCATCAATGTTATTCAGTTTAGAAAGCGGAATTTCATGAAGATTCACGATAAACTTTCTTAATATCATGTCAATTTGACTTGAAAACAGGTCTAGTCATAGAGACACATAGTTGAAAAGAAATATTATTGAGACACTAACTAAAATAAGTGATTGCGCGTGTGAAACAATCGTATGCGTGTCGCAGAAAAATTTGTTGATATGTACTACGTCATTTCGTCTTCCACATTTAACGAAAACAGAAATACGTAAGTTCTCTTTGTATTTGTTTTAACACATTTCTGAATTCCAGTTAGAATTGTGGGTTCTTATGCCATTCTGACAACACACATACATATTTTGTTTTAGCACATTTCACTGAGTTCTTATTAGCTGTCTATTTTAAAAATAATCACGTGTTGAACCAATTATTTTGCGGTTTTGTAGTTATAAAACGGTGTTTTTCAATCAATCTTTTTCTGCATTGTCTTTTGTCGTTGAATTATTACCTATCATGTATTTATATATTTGTCCCTTTTTTCGCATTACAGCCATTTGATTTCTTATTTTACTTCTACACACTTATATGACTCTTTAATTTTGTTCAATAATAACGTTGTGGCGTATTTAATTCAGATTTGTTTAATCATTTCTACTTGCTTGTGCATAAAAATGATTCCTTGTAAATCCAAATTTAATTTTTCTGTCATTAATTGTCTTTCACTTTTCACAGTACTGTGGCGTATTTCTTATTTTATTAGCTAAGAGCTATATTACTATACACTCATCATCACATGTCTTTTTACAAAAATAAAACTGGTTATGCAATTTTAAATACACATTATAATTTTCTATAACACATCATTTTTAATTTTTAATTTTTGCTGAAAGAATTACTTAATAAAGTAATTGTATTAATATTTTTTAATTAATATTTTTTAATTAACGCTAAATTTTCTAGCAAAAAACCGTCCAATTATATTTAATTAAAATTCACTGCTAATCTTGTAAGTCTTTATATAAATTTATAATGAATTTATATATATGAATATATTTATATATATGAATATATAAATAGTAGTAAATAAAATTACGATATTAGAGAATGTATTAGATATTTAATTTAAAAAGCATCTAATATATCTCTAGAACTTAATTATCCTATTTTTTCAGAGACACGCAATTTTATACTTTATTATTATTATCACAGCAAAATCATTTACTATATATATATATATATATATATATATATACATTATTTACAAGATTTATACATATACATATATGAATATATAATTATCTCTTTATATTGTTTATGCTATTTAAAATATATAAATTATATAAATATTATAAATAAATTAGTTTAATTAAATACATTTAAGTATATATTTTTGTATTGATTCTATGTAATATATGATAAAGTTTATATAGTCTTCACTTAAACATTAACATATACATATATACACTTTTTAGAAATAATTTGTAATATCACAGTACATTGTCTCTGAAATGATATACAATACATCTTTTATTATTATTTTAATCTTAAAGTTAATGTTATAATAAATTATAATCCTTTAAAAAA